CATCGCCAGTGGAGCGTATTTATCTACAGCAATATACGTCAGGAAGACAGGCAGGCAGATGACAGACAGGCTGACAGATATATGGGAATAGCAGCGCCCCGAACACGGCTACGACGGAGCTGATGCACAGAAACATTCCTTTTTAGAAAGCTGTGCTTCAGCTTATGCTGTCATAGCCTTTCCCATTTATAACTGACACCACCACCAGTGCTTTTTGTGTCCTTTCTATTGCCTGTCACAGAAGACACAGCGAAGACGAAGCAAGTAGGAACACTGGATAATTTGGATGAGAATAAGCTAACAAGGTTAAGACTCAGTTTTAGCACTTTGAGGGAGTTAACAAGTTTGCAGGAGACCTACACACCAAAGCAACCAGCTATCTGACAGCAGGCTTCCCACCAAGGGCACATACTGATCCCATCAGCAGGGGTGCCTTAATTAGGTATCGGTGGTGAAAAGTGGCATCGCTTCACTGGAGGCAGAAGAGGTCAAAGTTTTACTAAGGATCTGGCCCATAAATTTCATTACTAAATATGTAACTCGTTAATATTCAAGTGCCTGGGACAGACGAGGCACCAAGGAATGGGGCTCCCAAGATGAGTGAGTGGTCCAGAAAGCAAATCTGGTTTTAACTTTCAGGAGAGGCTGAAGGTAGGGGGGAAAGGGGAAATAGAAAAAAAGAAACAAACCAAGGCAACTGATAAGTATTAAATATAAGTGGCTAGTTTATCTGTGATAATAAAAATGGGCTTTACGTGGATTCAAAAAAACCAACAACACAACACCAAAACCAAAACGACCTGCTTCAAAGGAGATGAGTGAAACGACTGCAAAACTGAAAGACTTCAAGATGATACCCCAGGAGATAACAGTCTAAGAATAAAGTGCAAGAGCTCATATAAAATACAAAAGGTGTGTTGTAAGGAAGGATCAGGAGGGCAGACTTTGAGCTTCATCTCGTCATAAATCAAAAGCTTGTTCTCCGTCATTCTTGTCTATGAGGTCAGCTTTGATTCCCAAGCTGCAATTCCCAAAGGATGGAGGCATTTCTATCGGCAAGGATGTGTCTTTCTTCCCCCAGGCTGGATCTGCCAGCCCTGCTGTCACCATGGACTGTCATTATCTCAATCTCTTTACTGCCCAGGATTGTTCCATCCCGGAGCCACAGGGCACTATCGCAGGATCGTGAGAGGAAAACCCATTAGAACGCAAAAGGGCATTTGTGGTGCATTACTTCACAAAGCAGTTTATCGTGACAGGCCATCTGCAAGAGCTCAGCCATTGTTAGTGGCCAAACGATTTAGCACACTGGTCACCCCCTAACAGGGGAAGAATACAAAACGTTATGCAAAATGAAAACAGTGGGTAAAAATATCAACTAACCACAAAATCCACCACTAAATAAACAGCGAAAAGTGTATCTGCCCTATCATTGGCTTCAGATCTCTTTCTGTCTGGGTAACTTAAGCACTAATCTTTTAGCTTTTACACATGCAGTAAACTAAAAGTGGGGAGATTAAACTGGGTGTAATTAAATTGGGTGTAAGTTTTTCACTGTAGGGGTAGAGAGCTGCTGGCACAGGCTGCCCAGAGAGGCGGTGCTGCCCCATCCCTGCACACAGCCAAGGTCAGGGGATGGGCTGTGAGCAGTGATGGAGCTGTGGGTGTCCCTGTGCACTGCAGCGAGCGGGACCAGAGGGCCTTGAAGGGTCCCTTCTAATTCATACAACTCTATGATTCGATGATTTCACGAATTAAAAAGTTTAATAGTAATTTCAGATCTATCGGGCCTTTATATTGTGCAGTGCATTCCATAATTTGCTCCATTAGCACTGAATGGTTTTACTTCAGTAATTCTCACTTAATCCAGAGAAACACTGCTGTGTGGCATAAAACCTGATAGTCACTGCAAGCATCTTTAACAAAGATAGCATTTACAGAGAATAATGCAGGCATTTAATCCTATGAGCTTCTGCAGATAAAAACCTTCGTTCCTTCGGCAGTAACTCAGTAGAGCGAGGCAGAAGGGGCACGAAGCCTGGATTTTTAAGACAAGCCCGCCCTCTACTGCTTAGGAGAAGGTAATACTGGGGAGGGTCACCCCGAACTGCCTGAAGTCTTCGTACAACCATAGATCCGAGCCCAGAAAAGCTCTGCAGAGACCTGTGGCACAGTAATTTGGAGCTGGAGAGTCAGGGAGCGATCAGCAGAACCCACTCACCATTTAACAGCCCCATATGTCCAGTGCACAAAGCCAGTGGGGAATGGAGGCTGACAGCAGACTACCATGGCCTGAAAGAAGTCACACCTCCGCTGAGCGCTGCTGTGCCAGATATGTTAGAACTCCAGTGTGAACTGGAGTCAAAAGCAGCCAAATGCTTTGCCACCATTGACATTGCCAATGTGTTCTTCTCCATTCCTTTGGCCACAGAATGCAGGCCACAGTTTGCTTTTACTTGGAGGAGTGTTCGGTATACATAGAACTGTTTGTCCCAGGGGTGGAAACGCAGCCCAACCATTTGCCATGGTTTGATCCAAGCCACATTGGAACAGGGCAGCACTCCTGAGCACCTGCAATACAGTGATGACATTGTTGTGTGTGGTGATACAGCAGAGGAAGTTTTTAAGAAAGGAGAGCAATTCAAATTCTTCTGCAAGCTGGTTTCGCTATTAAGCAAAACAAAGTGAAGGGACCTGCCCAGGAGATTCAGTTCCTAGGAGTAAAATGGCAAGACGGATGTTGTCACATCACAGGAGATGTGATTGACAAAATCACTGCTATGTCTGTACCCACTAGCAAGAGAGAGAGACAATCTTTTCTGTGGGCTTTTGGGGAATGCATGTTCCAAACTACAGCCTCATTGTAAACCCCTCTATCGGGTGACATGAAAGAAAAATGATTTTACGTGGGGTCCTGAGCAGCAGCAGGCTTTTGAACAGATTAAACAGGAGATAGCCCATGCTGTGGCCCTAGGGCCAGTATGGATGAGACAGGATGTAAAGAACATCCTCCACAGTGGTGCTGGAGAGAAAGGTCCCACTTGGAGTCTGAGGCAAAAAGCCTCAGGAGAGACCCGAGGCCAACCCCTGGGATTCTGGAGTTGAGTGTACAGGGGGTCTGAAGAGGGCTACACTCCAACTGAGAAGGAGATCCTAGCTGTGTATGAGGGGGTTCGGGCTGCTTCTGAAGTAATTGGCACTGAAACACAGCTCCTTCTGGCACCTCGACTTCCAGTGCTGAACTGCTGCTGAATGTCCCTCAGTACAACATCCCAGTGTTCCCTGAACACCTCCAGGCACAGTGACTCCACCACCTACCTGGACAACCCATTCCAGGACCTGCTCTTTGGAAGAAGAAATGTTTCCTAGTATCAATCTGACCCTCCTCTGGCACAACTCTGTGCTATCACTGGGAGCAGATGCTGACCCCCCCCTCAGCACATCCTCCTTTCAGGCTGTCATAGAAAGTTATAAAGTCTCCCCTGAGCCCCTTCTCCACACTGACCTACCCCAGCTCCCTCAGCCATTCCCCATCAGACGTGTGCTCCAGAGCCCTCACAGCTCCATTCTCCTCTCTGCACACACTCCAGTGCCTCACTGTCTGTCTGCCTGGCAGCGAGGGGCTCAACACCAAACCCTCTAGACTCAACATATTGCAACAGGTCAGCCCCATCTGCAAACAGACCATGGGGAATAAATACAAACCTCTCCTGGGCAGCTCCGTGGCCTGGTGCTGCCCCCTGACCGCTGGGCCAGGAGAGACTGGGAGAGGATTTGAGCTGGAACTGCCACATACCCACTGGAAATTATTCCTCCTCCTTTTCCTGAGCACTGTCGTGGCAGCAGCCAGAAAGCCTGCACTGCAAAGGGCGGGTGAATTCCTCCTGTGTCTTCAGCCAGATCTGCAGTATACAGCTAGACACAGGAAAAGCTGTGTGCTTTTTGGCTGCAGTATGCGTACTTTCTCATGGAAATGCTTAAGGACTTCACTTTTTGTTGTGTTACCTGCAGTGGGTGCTGTCACTGAAGCACTTCTATGCTGTACTCTAAACGAGGAGGCATACAAGTGAGCATCTGCAGTCCTGTGAGCCATGTCACTCTTCTGCATCATGTTTCTGTCCCAGTGAGATGCTCGACATACAAAAACCAAGGGAACAAACAGGAGGGGAATCAACTCTTTGAAAGGGTGAGTGACAGCAGGACAAGGGGAAATGGTTTTAAGCTGAGGGAAGGGAGATTTAGGTTGGATGTCAGGGGGAAATTCTTTACAGAGAGAGTGGTGAGGTGCTGGAACAGCTGCCCAGGGAGGTTGTGGACGCCCCGTCCCTGGAGGTGTTCAAGGCCAGATTGGATGGGGCCCTGGGCAGTCTGGTCTAGCATTAGGTGGGAACGTTGGTGGCCCTGCGTGTGGCAGGGGGGTTGGAGATTCTTGAGGTCCCTTCCAACCCTGGCCATTCTGTGATTCTGTCCTTTAACATCTACAGCACCCATGAGAGAATGGCAAACGTTCTGTGTTCCCAAAGCAAAGTTCCGATGGGAGAAACAGAGCAAAGGAAGGGAGAACATTTAAAATTAAGCCTATTTTACTGTATCCCATTTAGCCAAGATAAATTACTATTGGTAATTAAAGAAATTCCCTCTTGCTGTCAGATTTTTTGGTTTCTTTTCCTATAATTACCACAAAGCTCTGCAAAAAGAGGCTTTTAGTATAATTTCTTTTCTTGGAGCCATTTCTCTGGTAGCTCAGTCATTACACTGATCATATCCACACATGTGCCTGGCTAACAGGTGTGTAACTTGCAGGCATTATCTTCACTGCACTTTATCCCTATTTCTTCTTTGTTTTCTTTTATTTAACAGAAGGCATACACCCATTTCTGGGAGAAAACTGTACTTTTGTTTTAATTTTCCAGGCTTTTATGTCATCCGCTTTGTCCTTCAGATTTTTCAAACCTTAAATCAATTGCTTGCATGGCTGAAAAGAAACCCACAGGTTTCTTTGTCAGGGTGGGGAGAGCAGAAGTAAATATACCCATATTTAACATGTATATGCATGTCCATACATGCAGGATGGTTTACTACTGGCTTCAAAATTTCCTAGTGGAGAAAGTTCTCTATTCCACTCCCTTTGCTTATTGAGCTCTCAAAGCTTTCAGCCTTGCTTACAGTGTGCATTGTAAGAAGCACTGGAAGAAATCTCTGCAGCATTGCTTACTCAATTTCCTACAGATGAGGAACACCTCTCCCACACAAAAAAGCTTCTGCATTCTGATGCGAGCTTGCAGTGTTCATTTACACACCTTCAATATCAGCCCATATTAATACCCAGTCCCAGGAAATGCATCTGCTCAGCTTTACAGTCACAAGAAATCAGCGGGACTACTCAGATACCTTGGCATATGCTTACTGACCGGTAACACTAGAACACAAGGTGGGCTAGAGACCAACTGTCAGATGAGGTTCAGCAAGAGGACATCCAAGACCTTCCTTCCAGTGGAGAAAGAAGAGGCATATGCAGAAGGCAGAGCATCATTCCACCTGTCTATCTGAAGCAGGTGAGCATGGCCTTCAGCTGAGGGAAGTCCTATCAGGACTTGCTGAAACCCAGTTTCTCTTAGTGACATTTTTCTGTGCTGTTTCCATGCTGTTTTGTACTCCAAACAGTCCCCAAGATCTGTGCAATACTCTAAACACAGTACTGATGAGACCTTACACATATGGAGTGTGTTTTGCAGGATGACTCCTTGCTCCTTCAGGCTTCATTGGCATCAAAACAGAGCAGAAGCTGCTTTTCCAGACAACCAAGGCATGCAGAAGCATGAGATGTTTTGCCCTCATTCCTGGCCTTGGATATCTGAAGTGCAGACCTTTACTAGTTTTAATTTTCATGACCTGACAAGGCTCAGACACAGTTGCTGCCCTCCAGCTGTGACCCTGAGCTAAAGAACCTGCACTTTTTACCTCCAAACCTAGTACTGGCTGTACAACAGTCAGCTCTCATCCTTACGCAGCTGCTGCTCCACCTGTATGCAGCACCAATAAATACCCAAAGAAAATCAATTAACTATCCTGCTGTTTCTTGTTAGCTTAAGTTCTCTGTAGGTAGCCAGGATTACTTTTTCTTCCTTACATAATCAACCCCTCCTCTCCTTTAGGGAACAAAGCAATAGCAAATCAGACATAGTCCACAAGAAGCTCTCCTGGGGCCCAGCATGTAAAAGAAAAAGGCCTTGCTTTGCCCTGTTAATAAGGTTTATTTATTACCTGCGAACACCGACGGCTTTCCTAGCTACACTCTTAGAGCTCACAGCCCCTTCTGTTAGAAAGGAAGAACTACACTCACCAAACTTCCTACAGATCATGTGCTTTCCCAAAAGGAAGAAGCACAAAGGCTTCTACAGGTAACTGGAGGGAAACAGGTCTCCTCAGCTTAAGGAAAAGCTTCACAGGTGTCTCAACCAATGAGAACAAAGGAACCACAGAGCTCTCTCACCACTCTCCCCATCACCCAGCAGCAGCAACATCAGCTCTGCACACTGCTGCCCCAAAGTGCCACACCGGGAGCCTGCAGGGAGCCTGCACCCCCCGAACTCCGCTCAACCCACCAGCAGCCACAAGGCGGAAGCACACCCTAACCGGAAGCGGTACCCCGTACCTCACTTCCGCTCAGCTCCGCCATTTCCGTCCCGCGCCCTCTGACGTCACGCAGCCCCGCAGCCAATCAGCGCGAGGGGGTTCCAACTCAAATCCTCTCCTGGGCGCTGCGCGCGCTCCGTGAGTGGCACGAGGCGGGGCGGGGCCGGACCGCTACCAGGCGGGACCGGGATCCGGGGAGCGGGCCGTGACGGGACAGGACGGGCCGCGACAGGACGACTGACAGCGGGACAGCTTGCCGCCTCCCGCCGCGATGATTGCTACTCCCCGCCGCGGTGAGATGCCGTTCCAGGCGGTGTCCCTCAGCTCCGTCCCGGCGGGCACGCTCACCCCGCTGAAGGCCCTGCGGTGCCGCGGTGACGCCGCGCTCTGCCCGCCCGGCCCGGTGCTGCAATCCACGCTGCTGGACGGCGGCGCGGGCGGGCGGGAGCCGCTGGAGATCAGCGAGATCCGGCCCGGGCCCGGACCGCCACCGCCGAAACGCCGCGCACGCGAGCCGCCCGCCCGGCAATCCCCGGCCGCGGCCTTCCTGAGGATGAAGATGAAGAGCGGCAGCAGCGACCGCATCCTGACGCCCGGCGGGCCCGGGCCGCGCGTTGCGGGCGCTGGGCAGCGCGGGGTCGCGGAGCCGCTCAAGAGAGGTTCGTAACCTGGGGCAGCACGGGGAGCGATAGCGGCGTTCTGCCGGGCGTGTGTGGGGCGGGGCGGCTGAAAGCTGAAACGGGGCGGTTGGGCGCGTTCCTTACCCAGAGGCGGTGCGGGCACGGCGCTGCTGCCCGGAGCTGTGGGCGCTCCTCTGTGGCGGTGCCGAGCCGTGGGCACCCGGCACGCGCAGGGCTGGAACTCGATGGTCTGTAAGGCCCCGCCCAACCCCACCGTGCTGTGGGTCTGCGATGTTTGAATCACAGAATCACAGAATGGCCCAGGTTGGTAGGGACCTCAAGGATCACGAAGCTCCAACCCCCCACCAC